CTGTGCGTATGCATGCCATGTATTATAAATCACTTCATCTCCTATTGAAGCACAGCCACTTCTGGGTAGAAAACACAGCAGATGTTTAACATGTCATGTCACGGCAGCTCTCCGTAGCAGATTTCGGCGGGACAGGAAGAACGCCACGAAACTGCAAGAAGGATTTAGTTAGGCGAGACGTAATTACCAAAGTTGGACTATCTCCAGGACACTGGGGCAAACCCTCCTGCCTTTGCAAATTTGATTTTAACAACTTTAATTTTAAACACCTGATAGTCGTATTTCTTGCCAAGGGAACAGATTGCCGAAAGTAAGAGAGGCAGGATTTCCTAAGCAGAGAAATCTCAGAAAATGAAGAAAGGAAGGGGGGGGGGAAATAAAGTTTCCTCCGATATGATTTGTGACATCTCAGTGGAAAATCATGAAATATCCATCGCAGGAAGACATTTTCTGGGCTGTAGGTCAGCTTAGCTTGAAGGACCCCACAGCCCAAGCCAATATTTTGTGCGTGGAAGTGATGAATTGTAGAAAGTGGAACCAGCACAGGGGGATCAGTGTAGGGAGGCCAGGTCAGAGCAGTGCAGAAACAACCCAAGAAGAACCTGCCTAAAAAGAAGAAAATTCAACTTCTTTTGCTATTAAAACGTATTTATGCACCAGCATTTATTGATGACATTGCAAATATCCACGTCCCACAACCAAACGGTTCAACACACCAGCTCGCTTATGTGGAATTTAATTGCGTCTACAGCATTGCAACAAAAGAAGCAAAGCACAATGAATACCTGAAAGAAAACGCCTTGTATAACATAGACCCTCTGAATTTCGGGAGGAACGTCATTGACCTCGGCTACCCCTGAGATTTGCCACGTGAGCGGAGCAAATCTTTCCTCTCAGCAGTTTGGAAGCTTTGGAACAAGCAAGTCCCGATCTTGCTTTAGTGCAGGTGACTTTCTAGGTTATCTTCCAGCCCAACATTTCTGTGATATGAAGGCCCACCCTCAAAGCCTGTTAACAAGGATCCAAAAGATAATGGTAAAATAATAAAGCATCTACCATAGGAAGTTGGTAACTCCTCCAGGAAACCAATACTACCCTACAGAAGGGTACTTCAAAACAGTTTGCAGCAGAGTTGCTTTAAGAAGCAGCAAGCTGTACTTGCATCACCCTGGAAATAACTACAAGCACGTGGAGAATCTCTTTTCCTGGCTTTTTCACCCAAGTGAAACAACCTTCTCCAGTTGCCGCTGAAAGGAATTTAATGAAATAATCTATGCCTGAGAGATTATTTCCATGTTTTGTGCAAACATAAAACAAGTGTTCTGGACTTGCTCTGCCCCATTTTCAGCTCGGGTTGTGTTGCACATGGGACACATTCATCTCAGATGGAGAAAAAAAACCAACACCCACCATCTGAACTACTGATTTCCCTAATGTATATGCTGGTGACACCGTGGTATCAGCAGAAGCCAAGCTGTGGCTGTTGAGTAAAATATATATATATATATATGTGTATGGCCCTGAGTCATGCTGAGGGTACAGTATGCTGCAGGCTCCTCACACACCCACCCAAGACCTTACACCAGTGCGGCTACCCTGTCTTTAACACCCCAAGTCTGAACACATCCCCTTGCTTCTCATTACAAGAAAGTGCCGCTTTGGGGTTTGATGGATGGCCATAGAGCCCTGCAGCCTACCGAAGTCACAGGTCAGCAAATAAACCCTCAACGGTTTGTTACAGGATTAGGTTTGGTACCTTCAACGCACTGGTTACGCCCAGGGAACGAAGCAAACCAGAGCTTCAGTGTATTGCTTTTTCAATCAGGTCTGCAGTTAAAGAACGGGAATGTTTTAGACCCACCTACTATTCAAAATAAATGTATTATTACAGCTTTGCTACGTACTGACATAGCCCCTTGTGCACACTGTGTTAAACAAGAAAGTGCAACCCACAAGTTGAACAAAATAACGAACTATTCCATGTTTCGCTGTTTCTTCACCAGCGTGGTACTGAAACGCAGATACGCTTTATCTGCCCTGTCGATGATGAAGCTCAGACGCTAATCAGAGGTTTGTTGTTATTTTCGGCTGTCACACACACAAAAACTATAGCAGAAACCATTTGTCTTTTAAAACCCACGTATGTAGAAAGGAGGCAGTGGCTTTACACAGTCAGCTGCTGGTCCACTTATTCTGCAGTGTAACTAAAAGGACTAGTGCAAAACATCTCGGCCTCGGTTCTCCTCTGGTATAAATCAAGGCAGTCCCACCACAGGGCAGTGGAGCTGTAATATAGCATACACCAGGGCAGGATTAGGCCCTCCGGTACAAGTATTTGCAATTGAAAGTATTTGTACAAGTACTTGCAATTTCTACAAGAACACGCAATTTCTAATTGCAAACACTGGTACGAAACCAGTGTTCTCGTCTCCATTATTGTGTCACTTCAAAAACCATTAACAAATGTATAATCAGGAAGCAGAAAGACATCACCATGTCTAATCAGCAGAAAACTCTTTTCTACCCTAGCCCTGAACTCCCAGGCGCAATCATCATCAAACCGAGATGCTACAAACACGGCCAAGCCGAATGTTCAACCACGGTCTCCACCTTTCAGTCTGAACATACTGAAATTCCACTGTAAGGCCAGCATCTGCGTTGGTATCCAAATCCTGTGTTATTGATAATTTAAACAATTGTTTTACAAATTCCTATGACATTATAGTGTCCCGATTACAAAGCATTTAAGGCAGATACTTCCTTTTAAATGTACGCTTAAGCACTGAGCTGTTTTGGAATTAATGTTAAAAAATAAAAGACATCCTTTCTTGTTTCTTTGGGACAGCAGTACACTGACAGTCATTATTTCTCCTAATAAAGAGAAGCATCCCTCTTCCCCTTGAAAGAAAAAGACTCAGTTACTTCACAATTACCTGGTGCATGGCCGACTTTAGGGCGTTTATACACAGCTCATGCCATCCTGGTCAGAAAATAATTCTGCAAGTAACCTTGCTACAAACCAAAAAGGTGCACAGTGTCATTGGTTTGCTTTAAAATCACAAACACACGGAGAAACAGTTGTGCCATTTTTCTTAATTAGAGAAAATCACCACACTTTAAAAAAGAAGAGTGTTCTAATCACGAGTAAAGTTTAAAAATAAAACCAAATATACAAAAAGCCCAGTCCCACGCCTTTATGCTCCATCTCAGTGGGCTGAAAAGTTTGTGACAGACTGGCCCACAAACACACCGAAGGCTCCGTGAGCAGCGGTTGCCAGGTTGGCCCTCATCCTGCTTCATCTGGGGAAAATTCCCTTTGACATCAGCTAGAGCAAGGTTTGTTCCCAACTAAATCAAAAATTCAAGAGAGAAAAAAAAAAAAATAAAATAAATCACAGCTCATGACTCTTACATGTAGCTGGAAACAGGCTCTGACCCTGCAATTTGCCAAATATCTTTATCGCAGCATACAGAAACAGACCAAAATCACTGCCCTGTGCCATTTGGGGGAAAACCAACTGTTAATGTCTAAACACTTGTAGCTTTTAATGGAGGAAAAAAAAGAAACACACTAAACCCTCCTGATGTTGCATGCAAGGCAGGGTGTATCGTTTGCTTACGCCACTTCTCGTGCGTACGCCTGACACACGAGCACATTCATTTTTACTCCCCAAGAGAAACCTTAGTTTGTTTAGATTTGAGACAAAAAGCAGCAGTCCGTCATCTCACGTCATTCTAAAACCCTGACATTTACAGAGCTCTTTGGTAACGAGTTCATTAAACACCGCATGCATCTTAAGGTCACACGCAGCACTATAATTTAGGGCATGTATTTTATAGGTTTCTTTTTCGGGTTTACCTGCTGATTATTATGCGCTGTAAAATTTCAATTATCCCAGCTAGTCAGGGGCATAAAAAAGGGAAATAAAAAAAAGTAGGTGATGGAAAAGTATATGTTAACAAATACCGTAGAAAAGCAGTCCGCGCAACACCAAGATTGTTGCACGTGTAACACTTCTGTGTTATTAATGCCCTTTCTCTTCTTATAGAAAGATGAGTAGTATGAATAAAAAGCACAACATGGCAACTAAACCATCTCCCTCATTCTTACTGTGTTCGTACAAGCAGCAGGCATTTTAAAACACCGTGGACAAACGCACAGCAAATTTTATCTTCATTTTCACCGTGCAAACTCATAGACCTAGCTGGAAGAGCAGAACCCAAATTAAAGGTTGGATTTGGCCCAACTGGGAACAGGAATGACTTGAAAGATAGAAGAATATATCTGCAAATTTCTCCCCATAACTTCTAAGTTTAACAACCTAACTCTTGTGTGGGGGGCAGACAGACAGGGCTGAAATGGTTGCTGATACAAATGGAAATGTTCCCAAATAATTTCAGTTTTCTCCATTTACAGGCCAGCGTTTGGCGCCCAAGTGCTGTTACTTATGCCCTGGAGAGTTGTAAGCACAAAATTCTGTACCTGAAAAAAAAAAAAAAAACACCACAAGAAAGGACTGGGAATTTTTTTTTAGTGTCAGACCTGCAAAGCTGAGATGGTGACACCGAGTCAGCTGTCGCTGCTAAAACCAAAAAAAGAGGGTATGTAAAGACGGGACAATACGAAGGGCCCCAATTGTGCAGTGGCTTGGTCCAAGCACATCGTTACACATACACAGTTGTTTTAACTCTTCACCGCTTTCTCCTATACAGTGATTTTTAATGCACATTAAACTGCTAGCCTTAGCCAATTTCTGTAGTGTCCGAACTTGCTTACCAGTAGTTTTTAAGACCGGTAATTTCTCAATAAAGTGATTCCAGTTGATTTGGCCTGACCCCATCCCAATGAAAGTATTTTTTGTTTTCACTGCTGCCGTCAGGAATACATCTCTGTGGGATGCCCCTAAGTGTCCATAGCCTGCACACGCCATTTTTGAAGGCTGAAGAAGCTTCGCGGATGTTTCCAACCTCTCCTCTGCAGAGCAATCCTCTCCTTGCTTTCAAGAAGTTGACTTCTTTGCAGCAGTTTGCATATTTGTTTTGACTCGCTTCTTTGCGGAGTAGTAATCTGGAGAACAACACATAACCAGAATTAGGGCTACGACACCGATAACGGCTGCTTTTCAAGAAACCTCTCAAACCTCCGTTTTGTGTTGAAGAAGTCATTTAGACTTCCCTACGCCTCGCGAACGAACAAAACTAATACCTTTAGCGTGTTCCACATAAAGCTACGTAATACCAGGCAAAACAAAGGAAATGTGTTGGCTTTTATCCAGCTGAGATCAAAAGACTTTGGACCCTCTTATGCAAGCTGAGCAATGTGACATTTCACTCCAACTTTTAGATCCACTGCTGCAGTGCTTTCCAGACAGAAATAGGGTTTTCTTTTCCTCCTTAAAAGTAACAACAAAAAAAAATACGCTGTAAAAGAACATCAGAAGAACTATATACACGGGGTGTTTTATTTCTGCTTATCAGATCAAAGTGCAGATTCAGGGAGGACTGCACAAAACCTTGCGCTATCACTGAATTACAACTAATTTTTTGCTTAGAGAGTAAGGACTGTGGCTCACGGGGAGAGCATCCATTACGTTTTTATATGTATGTGTGGCTGAATTTTTGTTTCAGGTGCAAACGTAAATCAACCCTAACTACAAACCTGTGACTCCAACACAGGACTTTCCCTGTGAGTCAGTCCCTTCCCTGCCTCCTCCCCTCACACACACACAAAAAATACTACTTTTTTCAGCTCACAGGGCAGAATTAGCTGAAATGGAAGCTAGGTATTATTTATCTTTAGAGTTCACAAGATTTACCTGGTGTAAATGAATTTGCTCCAATTTCAGTTGAGGATGCGGGCTCCGCGATATTTAAACCTGAGCTTTCTATACAGTCAAATTGGCAACAACTATCGAGTCCTTGCAGCATAAATTCTTGCATTCATTTCAACGCAGAACATTATCGGTGGGATGTCTGGAATTTTGTAGGCTTTCACAGCCAAGTTTGTGCAACGAGATTCCTGCAGCCAGCTTCCTTAAGGATACGTCTGCACGGCCCAGTGCAATGGAGCGCGGCGGTACCTGAGCCAGCCCTAAGTTAAATATCTGGAGCAGGATGTGATCCCATGGAGAGTGTATCCTCCCGGGCAGGAGCACGCACTGTTAACTCAGTAAAAAAGCAAATCCTTCTATCGCTATAACCTGCTGCAGTCCCACAGTGGAGCGGCAGAGGAAAGGAACAGTGGTAAGAAGGAAATAAAACAAAACCAACTTACATTACCAAATATAATCCTTACTACTTATTTCTTCCATTTAAAAGACTCCTATGTAGTTATCCTCCACTTTACTTTGGGAAAAGAAATGCATTAGGAATTATGCTTAGCAGATGCAATTCAGAAAAGACTTAAATAGTCGGTATTCCCATTTCTGCCTATGAAGAATTTTAGCAGGAGCCCAGTTGCTCAGATGCAGACATAATGTTTCAAAATTGATAGAGGTGCTTAATAGCCAGGGGCATGGAGATTCCCCAGGGCCACATTGAGATGATCTAGCCTCCATCTAAAATGCTAAAGAGAGTCCAGGGAAATTGGCTGGTTTGCCTAAGGGAACCTAAAAAGCACCTGCACAAGAAAGGTCCTGCGGAGGATGCTGCCTGCAGCCTGTCGCTGGGAAAGCCTGGCCATAGGGAACCAGGAGGGAAAGATTTCTATTGTTTAAATATATCCACCGAAATACCTGCTTTCCTTTCCTCCCCATTTTCTCCCTAGCCATCTTGCATGAACTATCTGCCTCAGAAGACCAGCAAGCAAAAACACAGGATTTTTTTAACCCATTTTCTCTCTTTAACCTTTAACAAAGGAGGCAAGGATTTATGAATGTCTCCCAGGGGAGCCATGGTCTAAGTGTAGCGGATTGAGGCAAGTCAAAAAGTTTGGAAGAGGAGAGAAGAGCTGGCACAGTTTGCCAAACTTGGGGTGGGGGGAAGGAAAGAAAAAAAAATAAAATTCCTGTTTGAATTCGAGACATTCCCAGAAAACAGAGCAGAACCACACTAGGTCTGCAATGAAAAAGAGAGAATGGAGACGGAGTACGTCTACATAAAAGGGTTGGGAGATAGAAGAGAAAAAAAAATAAAATTCCTGTTTGAATTCGAGACATTCCCAGAAAACAGAGCAGAACCACACTAGGTCTGCAATGAAAAAGAGAGAATGGAGACGGAGTACGTCTACATAAAAGGGTTGGGAGATAGAAGAGAAAAAAAATAAATCTACTTTCATACTGGTTTGCTCTCTGCATGTCTGAGGAGTCAAGCGCAGTAGGAAAACCACTGCTCCTTCCACTCTGGAGGCACCAATGTCCACAAAACCCCGTGGATGGTTTTTAATATATCGATATTTATTTAATGGGCCACAGCTGCCTTTGAAAGTCTAAATTCAACTCACATTGTTGGATCTTAACATAAAGCATTACAATGTTCTTGTTGAAGCGAAGCAGAATGCAGATAACCAGGTTCAAATCCAACCTCAGATCCTAATCCTAAACCTTTCATTATGGGATGGCAGAAGATAAGGGAAGGGCTGGAAGCGTGGGGTCAGACCCTATCAGTAGGTATGACCTTCTCCAGCTCGGTTTTGCCTTTTTTACTTCAGTTATGCCCAGAAGGAGAAGGTTCCTGCAGCTGGAGGGAAACTTCTAAAGCATCCTTCAGCTGGCAATAGGAAGGATGTGTGCGCGCGTGCCTGGGAGAGGCGGACTGATCTTCAAGCCTCACCAAAGAAGAAGACTGCAAATAATTTTCCTGGCCCATCTCGCACACCCAGATTCCTTGGGGAGAAGGGTACTGGTTGTTAGACTAAAGCGTTCGCTCTTAGGAAAACACACGTGGGAAAGTGTTAAACTGTGCAGCGTGGTATTTTGGTTTCCACATCCCCTGATGAAATGTTTCTTGCCTGGGGAAAACAAAACGGAAGAAAAATATCCCCTGGAAATATCTGCATAATTTACTCCCACACACCTAGTGAGAGATTTACAATCGAACAGCGGTTCCCGCAAACCATCACAACATTGTGCTCTGAATTACACTTCTGTACTCCTACCTGTAAATTATACCGTTAATTAGTTAATGGCTGTAAAGTGCTTTGGAGAAGAAAAGAGCACTCATTAAATACCATTGTTCTCCAGTGTGCAATGTTCCACTCTTCATTAATCTCCAACCTCTTCCTGAACCTCGCGCTAGCAATTAAGTTTCATACCCTCAAATAGTAAATTAGTCTATTGTCTGACTTAACCGAGATCAACATCACTGTTCAGAAAGTGTTTCCTGAAACCTTAGCTTCAATTATCTTCTAGGCAATTTCAAGCTGGTGTCTCACATCAAATGCCCAAAAGAAAACCCTTGGTCTACGTCTTGAAAACCTCAGTCTTGCATAAACCAAAACCCCAATAGGGACAAGGAAAATCTAATACACAGGATTAGATTTTTCACACAAGCTCAAATCCCCTTGAGAAGAGAAAATAAGGGGCCAGATGTTCAGAAGAGCTTAGCATGCAGGATGCTGAGGACTTCCAAAAACCTAAAGCTCTTTTACGAGTGCTGAAAACCACTCCTGGCAGCAAGTCCTGGTGAGAGGCATTTGAAAAACCGAGCCCCTTCTGCCACCTGGCCAAGTTTAAGATCGATTTGCCCTTAAAATTCCTGGATGCCTTCACCGAATAGAATATCCAAGCTGAAGTTCGCAGGCAACCCGGCTGCTTTCTCTGATTTCTGGTCTTCTTCCTAAGGCTTAGCTGGCTGAACCTGTCTTCCTCATTGCATTCAGGAAAGGGTGCCCATGGCCAAATCTATAAACAAGCAAATAACCAAAAACCTCCCATCCGATGAGCAACCCTGTTTTCCTCTTGGGCACCTGCTTGAGAAATCACCTCACTACTTTTCTTAGACTGCTTGTTTGAACTTCTAACCCTCCTACCCATCCCAGCCAACCTCCTGCAAGAAGCGGTTGATATCTCATTGCTCTGTGACAAGTCCAGAACAGAGCCCCGGGGCCAGGAGGTGGGGGGGGTTGTGGCACAGCACCTTTGAAAAACACAAGTCACATGCCCCTTGATTTAGTGTGCCTTCCTCCTCTTCCAGATGCTTCTCTGAAGGGTTGCACTTTTTTAAAGCAAGACTGGTTTACGGGCCCACCAGCGAATTTCTAAGCAGCTGCTGGGACCAGGTTTGATCATCTGAGCCACACCAGGGTCTCACACACCTGTCAAAGATGTCTGTCTTCTCTTCTTCCCTTCTGAGATCCTCTTGCCCCCTGTTTTCTTGGAAGTTTTGGGTTTCTCAGTCAGTGCCACCTGGGCAAAGTGCTGACCCTTGTCCTCCCTGCCCAAGGGCCAGTTCAAGCGCTGTAGTGGTCTTCGAGCATTTTCCACCACACAGCTGTGGTAGAAGGCAGGTACCTTGTGGCCCTCGAGCTCTTCCCACTGCAGGAGCCCCTCTGTCGGCGTGTCCCGGAGAAAATCAAAGTTCCACTTCTGCTGGGCCCCCTCGACGCTGTTGCGCATCATGTGCTGGAAGTCCTGCTGCAGCTGCTCGTGGTCCACGGGGCCAAAGAGGTTCCTCTGAGCATGGGTCATCTTGCCCAACCTCTGCTCCATCTTCTCCCCTCGATGCCACTCTCCAGCGAGCGTATACAGCAGCGACCCCCTGCCAAGGACAGAAAGACCATCAGCCACCCTTTGCATGCTCAGTTCAGTGGGCACTGCATACTCTTTAAGGGGAGTGCGGCAATAAACCTAGATACTTTTGATCCCACTACAGGAAATCTTGGCTTATTTTGAAAGAAATTTATCCTGGTCTCCAGTCCAGAGTGAGAATTCCCATCTATAGGATATGTCTATAGAAAAATGGGGAAGGGTGAAAAGCCCTCACCTCTTTCGTGCATCCTTATTTCAGGGTACGCTGAGAGAGGGTTTGCCCTAAGAGATGCAGGAGGAATTGGACAACGTCCCTTGACGTAGTGCAGCAAAAGACAGAAAGCACAGAAAGGGAACTTGGGGAAAACAACCGTGAGTGTCACCTGAAGCAAGGGGAAGGGCCTGAAAAGGAAGACTTTGAGGACAACGAAGGCTGATGGCAACCAGTAAAGTACAGAAGATATGTTTAATTTTACAGTGGAGGTGGTATCTCTCTCCCGACTACTCCTACCACCATTTGTTCTGCAGTGTCAGCTAAGTTGGAAGCTAAGGATGATCAGAGCAATCACCAGTTTCTTGCCAGATATTTTCATTCCCTTTTCTGGAAGTAATTGCCTGTGCCATGGTCCCAGTCACAGACAAAACCACTGTCCTTCCTACGATGGCAAACCCCAGGCAAGCAGCAGGAGGTGGGGATTTCCCATTCAGCAGGCTGGCATGGGGACAGAAGAGATGGGGTGTCCACCCTCCTCTGGCAGGTAAGGTGGGGACACGGCAAGCTGGAGAAGAGCTATCAAGCATTTTGCAGATTTCATAGGCCAGAAGGGCATAAATATACCAAATACATTCACCCACTAATTCCTGCACCAGCTGTTTAATTTCTGGAAGAGCCTGAAAATAGATCTTAGCGCTCATTCAATTCCTTCTCTCTCTGGATCCACAAAACTCAGCCCCTCTCACAAGCTGTGACGCATAGCAGCGGACAGGCTAGAAAGAAACCTCTGAGAAACATCAGCAAACAGGCAAATTTTGGATTTGTTGTGCTACTGAACTCCTAAGGCCATAAAGAGTTTGGGGACAGAGCTAAGAGAGGTCAACTGGTGATTTGTCTACAGAGCATGCAGATAGTCAGAGCAGCGAGGCTTCTGCAGAACCTCAAGCTTTGGGCTTGGCCTCCCACATCCCAAAGGGAGCTTCAGCCGCAGCAGACCCAAACCCAGATGCGACTGGTATAGTCACCCCCCCATGTTATCTGTCCGGGGTTGTATCTAATCCACCTGAACTCTTGAGTATCCCCTCGCAATCGCACCCCAAGTGCCTACTCTGAGAACGTCACTTGGTGGCTTCGGCATCCAGCGCTTGTCAGCAATGGGGCAGTGTTGGCACTTAGATGGTTCTGCACAGTCTGCCACAGAAAACTCGGATACTGAGGGATGTGGCTACCTCCTCCCAGGTGGAAGCTGAGTGTCAGTTCTGTTGCTGATAACACACCTGAGCAGCAGAGGTCCAAAGATTCATAGAATGGTTTGGCTGGAAGGGACCTTAAAGCCCATCCAGTTCCAACCCCCTGCCCTGGGCAGGGACACCTTCCACCAGACCAGGTTGCTCACAGCCCCATCTAACCTGGCCTTGAACACTCCCAGGGATGGG